GTTTGGATATTGATATAGTCTTTAAAAAGAAAAATTAAAAGGACGAGGCCAGTATTAGAAATGCTTCGGCAAGAGACATACAGCAAAAGATTGCAGAATAAAAATTTGTTTTGAATCATACAGTAAACCTCATCATGAATCTTTATATGATTTTGAAAGCAAAACTGATAAACAATGCAATAGAACAATGCAACAGAAAATCATTTACTTATAGCAAATATATCAAATGATGCTTTAGGATTTTTGTAGTTGTTTGTTTGAAAGGTAGGTCTGACAAAATTAATAGTCAGTTTGATTCTTTTATTACTGCACAAGTAGAATGGGATAATAAAATGTTAAATGGTATTATTGATACTACCACTAAGATCTGTATTATAAAAGAATACTATTGCACCAGAGTATTGTAAAAGACCATGTGGAAGTGTAATATTAAAATATGCTTTTGGACAGCAAGTTAATGCACCTTAAATAAAATGTAAATTTTGTGACGAGTTTTTAAGGTATTCCTCCCGCCTTCCTAGTGTAGTGGTTCTGCATGCTGGGCTGCTCGTTTTTCATCTTACCTGCTTCTAAAAAATTCTAATGTCTCTACAGTGGCGCCCGAACTAAAAGGATGTTGGATGATGATTCTCCTCACCCAGGATTTGGCGACTGGGTCCCCTAAAAAAACCCAGTCGCCCTTTAAAAGGGGAGTATATAAGGTATTTTTCCTGCCTTTCTAGCTTGCCTTTGTGGTGTAGTGGTTCTGCATGCTGGGCCGATATTCCAGAGGTCCGTAGTTCGGTTCCCGGCGAAGGCGTTTGCTTATTCTCATGTTACCTGCTTCCAAAAAATCCTAATGTCTCTACAAGTTTACAACTAAACACTGTGTACACATCTATTACAGTTATGTGTGCTATAGTTGATAATCTAGTACATGACTTACCATTAAGTTTTAGTGCTTATAATGAAATGATTTCATCTAAAGGTAATTTTGAAAGTTGTGTTAATATTCTGAATGTCGGTGAAATACAATGGTCTTGTGAAGATATTCCTGTTAATTCTGAGGAAGAGGAAGAGGATGATGCAAGTGATTTACCACAAGTCCATCAGAAAGCTGAGAAAGAAGAGGAAGATAAAGAGGCTGATTATTTAAAATGGTTGAAAGGCCAAGAAAAGGAAGTACTAAAAGATGTTAAGAAAGGGTCCTCAAAAAAGACATTTCTTTCTTAACATATTAAGTTTTCAAATTGTCCAAACCTGGATGAGAATAGGAAATTTTTTTAAGATTTTAGTTTAGATAAGAAGTATATATATATATATATAATATATATATATAAAGATAAAAACGTTGAGATTCCTAACCTATGAAGAAATTACAAATATTGCAATGCTGAGTGATGATGGAAAAAACATGCAATAGCAGGAATTGTTTGAACATAAGTGTAATTTCCGATTTGAAGAGCCGGATTCAGAATTCATTAAATAATATCCAAGGACAATTGGAGATTCTCTCAGACATGTTGAGCATGAAGAATACAATGAAAGGAAAAAGGGAAAAAGAGCAGAAAAAAGAAGAATTAAAATGTTTGAAATCTTTAATGAGAAAAGAAATTGAAGAAAAATTTTGAAGTTGTCATAGTTGGATTAGATGAATTGAACCTTAATAAAAATAAGATTGAAAATAAATTTGATCCTATAAAAAACAAGACCAGAAAATGAAATAGCTTTTTAATGATAATTTTAATGCTATTCAAGAAGAATGTCCAAAATTTCCATATGATAAGTAACTCTATAATGAAGATTGAGACAACTGGACAGGACCAAGTAAAAATGAGTGTGGTGAAGAATAGTTTGAAGAAAGGTGCTTCTGAAGAATCAGATGTTGAGGTTACAAATTCTAAAGGTGTTCTAAATCAAAATTTGAGAAAGGAATGATACAGTCAACTCACAGAGTAAAGAAAAAGGTTAAAAAGAAATCCTCATTTGTTTAAATAATTTCTAAACCTAAACCAGTTTTTGATATAGATGGCAGAATGTTTGATAACTATTTGGATGAGTACTACATATTAGATCAGATTCAAATATAGGAAGGTAGTGTCAAACGACTTTGAACTGACAGTATTGATGAAATTCTTGCAGCTGATGGCACAAAATTAACTATTTGTATTCATGTATGATTATTTTTTTAAAAAATATATTGTTCATTTAGTTCATTTCAAAGTAATTTTTTTAATTACACCGTTTGAGCACCTACTTGATTGGGGAGGTGAGAGACACTGGCGCCCTCTATGGAGAGCAAAGACACTTACATAAGTGAAATGCAGAGAAAAACAGCAAAATCGGATCACGTGGAGCACGCTAAATGGTTTTTAAATAAAAAAAAAAAAAAAATTAAATAAACTTTAGAACAGATTAATAATATGTATATGAATGATATAGTCGTTGTGTTTTATTGCTGTGAATAAAAGTGCTTAAAAAAATAAAAGTGTTTTTTATGTTTGATGCCAAATAATGGATGAAAAGGACCCACAATCATTGGTCACCACAACAGGATTTACATATTTTTTTTTCTTTCTGTTTCTAATTTAAAATAATATTGTTGCTAAAATAGGTTAAAAGACTACAACAACTTTAATCAACAACTTGGATTCAGAGAGAATTTTCAGATTTTTTCTGCTTTTATGAGGTTTTGTCTTTCTGTGTTACAGCATTAAACAAATTTCTTCTTATGGCTATTAAATTTTATAGTTTCATAATCTGGATTTATGGTTTATGAATAAATTGTTTTAATTTATTCAAATTATTTCTGTGATATGTTGTGTTTGTAATACAGTAGAAGACTGGAAATCTGACCTAAAATCTGCGCTGCCTCTTGGTATGAAATTAGGATGCATTTGGTGATTTTTGTTAAGAATTATCCTCATTCATCATTGAAAAAAGCTATCATATTATATTAATTATTACTTTTATAAACTCACTAAATGAATATCTTGCCCAAAGTCATTAAATTTTTACCTGTAACTGGAGATTACAATTTATTATTTTAATCAATTGAGATGGCTTAGTTGGAAGTTTGGTAATCTCCCATTCGTGGGGCAGCAGCCAAAATATTCAGAAGAATGGCAAAGGTTACATCATCTTACATCATGATTATGCACGAGACATTGTGAACTGATTATATTATGAGTCAAAGCCTTTTCTGATGACCGACTTTCACAGATGAATAAAAGTAGCCTTTTTCGAAGACAGAAGAATGAAAGTAAGTTTTATGATTTGGCAGTTACTAAATGAAGAAGAATCTGCAATTAAAGTTTTTCAGGTTAAGGGGTTATCCCACCAAAAATTACTTTAAAAAATCAGGATTACATTTAAGCAAATATGCATTTCAAACATATCATTAAGAGTGTCATTTATACTACATTATTTCAAATTCATTTTGTGCCAGTATATTAATGTTTGACAACAACTGCCATCCCTTTATTGGAAAAATATAATTTTTAATTTTATTATGATTATTAAATGAAAATAGCTGCTTTTTTTTTTTTTTTTTTTTTTTTTTTTGTCTTATCAAAAGTACTAGATAAATTCATTGTTTTCCTGCAAATAATAGTGTAGAGACATTAGGATTTTTTTGGAAGCAGGCAAGATGAAAAATTAGCAACCGCCTTCACCGGGAATTGAACCACAGACCTCTGGAATACCGGCCCAGCGTGCAGAACCACTACACCATGAAGGCACGCTAGGAATGTGGAAGAAATACCTTATAATAGTTGAAAAACAAGTTTAACAAAACCATGTGACTTGGTGTAATTTGAGGGAATTCAGAAACAAATTATCATAAACAGATTTTTAAAAAATTATTTTTTATATTTTTATTTTGTATCAAATTATATTTAATATTTATTTCTGTATTTAAAAAGTTGATTTTTTATTCTATTTTTATTTCTCCTTTTTTTTTTTTTTTTTTTTTTAAATATAAAACTTTTTTTATGACCCTAATTGGCAAAATGTATAAAACTCGCACAAATGCAGATTTTTGGTCCTCTGCCATACAGTCAGCATACATCCAAAATAGCATGTTAATTAGATATTTTCAATAGCCACTAAAGTTACAGAAAGTTGTTGATACTTACATCATTGAAAATGTTTACATATTTTTTGTTTTCTGGGGGACTGAGAATGGTTATGTAGTAGCACACCAAAAGAGAATAGAAGGATAGAAGTTATTAGTAGGTTTTAATGGTAGTTTTCTTAAACTTAACAGAATAGATGAACAGGCCAAGTCAGCCTCTGATATGAAAAACACAGGATGAGAATAACTGGTGATAACTTATTATAATATAGGAACAGGTACATCAATCTCAGACGTGAAAAACACAACAGGATGAGAATAACTGGTGATAACTTGATGAAGATAATGTTTGCATCATATCGGTTGCACTTTGCAATATTTAGGCTTGGCAGGTACTTGGCTGCATTTCCATGCAATGCTTCATAGTAAATACTCTCCGGACTTGAATCTGATTCTCTGCTTCCATTCTTGTCTTTGACAGCTACAGCATTTTCAGCATACTATGCATCGCAGTGCGACACTATGACTGGGACACAGCTCAGCTACTGGGATAGGCCACATGGAGAGTAACCAGGACAACACACAGCTCTGATGTTTCAGAACAAAATTATGTAGCATTACACTTTTTATCTCTTTCAGTATTGCGCAGATGCAAATTTTCTAAAAGTATTTTTCCTTCCACACAATTATTCCATAAAGTCATTGATTGAAATGATATTTAGGATTACTTTTTGTGCCAATTTTATTAGTTTTGAAATTCAGTTAGAAATTATTCCCAAGTGCAAAAGGAAGTCTAGTTGTAATTTTTTAAATGTATGTACCTATATATTTGTAATTCTTTTTAAGATTCTCTACTTATATTAAATGCTGTTTTTGTCAGAAAATAATAAACCTATAATAAGTATATATAATTATAAAATACACAACTATGTTTTATGTTTTCTAGATCCTTTTAGTGGGAAGAATGTTGCTGCTTCAGTCACCAGTTCTGATGTAGCTGATTTTATAAAATACTGCTTCAACACATTTTATAAATATTTTTCAGTGCCGGCAAAAGGTAAAAAGTAAAATATTTTTAATTTAAGATTTTTTAGGAAGGTATTATTTTCATCATTTAAAGAATTTCTCATATTTATTTTCATTTATATTTATTATGTCATGCTAAAACTGAATTACATCACATGGAAAATTCTTCTAAATATAAAAGCAGTTGCTATTAAAGCAAGGGCCAATCACTGATTCCAAAAAAATGATATATAAATTTATATATGAAACAGAATGGAGATAGATATCATAAACTTTCAAAAACTGTTGTGTAATATGTTAAACTTTTCTGTTTCTAAAGATTGTTTATATGATGTGAAAAATTGTGGGGGAAAGAACGCCTTCAAATGTATATTTCAGAACTCATATGCCAATAGTTAAGGGTTTGTTGACACATTTTCTGTATAGAAAAAAGGTAAATAGGACCTGAAAGGAACATAAATTATTTACTTGATAAACATTTCTTTACAACAATGGTTATAATAATTGTTCAAAACAGGGTTGCCACGCTATTTGGAAAAACGGGAAAAGTCAGGGAAATCGAAAATTGGCCAAAAAATTTTAGTAAATTTAAATATTTTAGTCAAAATCTGGAAAGTCGGGAAATTTCATACTGCGATCCCCAAAAAAGCTGTTTTTGCACCAACATCAGAAGCGATGACTCTTTTGGTGAATTATGTATTCTGTTAGCATCATTCGGACAGCTGCCAATTTTCACAGCACCAATCAAATTGTCTTTTAGAAATGCAAAGCAAGTTTCCAGTAACCTCAAGTCGCATGCGGATGTGCAGTGCATGTTGAACAAAAGTAAATCCCCGCTCTCCATTCTCGTATAAAACAAAATCTTTTAAACCTTTTCTTCTTTCAAGATGCCTCATTTGTCATTTTGCCCTAAAATTTTTAAAAAAAAATCATCTAGGCTATTCATTTAATATATATATATTCGCCAAAATACCATTGATTTTTTGCAATTCAGTTTTTAATCCTTAAGTAATTAACTTTATTTGATACTTTTCTATTTCGCCAGCGCAAATCTCGCCAAGCAGACTTTATTAGCAACAACACACGGTATACACATAAAAAATTGTTAATAATGCTGCAAATCTCACCAAGCAGATTTTATTGAAGACAACACACAGTATACACATAAAAAATTTTAACAAATGTTCGTTCTAAGAATATTTTAGTTTGGAGGCATAGACATTTTAATATCATTTCAATTATTTTCTAATGGGTCTTTCATTTCACTTCTGCACATAAATCTGCAAGGTAACATTCCAGATGATGACATGCCGTTCCTCTGTGTTTCTTACTTCACCATTTGGTGCTATCCCACAGTCTATCTATTTTTTGTGTGTGCTTTCCAGTTTCTGGATCAACAAAATTGTATTTATAGTTCACTTTGAAATGTTCGATACTTTCCTCTTCAAGTTTTTCTGTGCAATATGATTTCTATGAATTGGAATATATTATAGTTCCTTTTACTAATTGCTTCTAATATAATCCTCATAAATTGGCTTGGCACCTTCACAAGGAAACATTCCTTTGTTTCCTTGTGAAGAAAATAAGGAAACATACCTGTGTTTGATGGTAAACTCCACCAAAGATTCACCATTGTGGTAGAATCCATCCTAAATTATTTTTGTGCTTCATGAACATACTTCCATCCAACTGATGATCATAGTAGGTCCTCCTATTTTTCATTGTTCACATTTAAGTGAAGAATCCACACAAACCTCGCGCATGTAGTTATTCCAGTCCATAACTGTTCTGTGACTGATTTCCAACTACCATTTAATTGAAGTTAATTCTTCACTCCAATCATAAATAAACCTCACACACTTCAAGAAACTCAATTTCAATGATTCAAACCATGTGCCTTTCTGTATATTTCTTTTACTGCAACAAGTTGAAAGACTACAGTGTCATTGAATTTCATCTCCAAAATAAAATTTCATTTCAGAATTATTATCGCTAGCAATTTTAAGCACAATGCCTTTCGCTTGAGAGAAGCTGACAGATTCTTCTTCTGCTATGGGCAAATCCCAAAATTTTCATTGATTTTTCATCCATTTTTGACGTATTAGGAAAAAGACATGAATTTACAAATTCAGTATGCTTTCATGGTAGAACATCCTGATTTGTCATTTCATATCACATGGTGATCCCAAGTGATCTCATCTTACGTAAACTATACTATAAAAATCTATATCTCTCAGTAATTATCTACATTAATTTCAATTTTATTCTGGAAGTTAAATGCAAGAATTATTTCAATGAATTGCTTACTCAGAAATTATGTAAAACCAGTGCTTTACTTCGCTAGTGCATTCTCATTAGAATTTATCAACTTGACCTTTGACTTTGCCTTTTCTATATTTTCACCTTCGGGTGAGCAGTGTGATTGAACCCTAATTGACTTAATTATCGCCAATGGCCTTAGGGCATAAAATTCATCTATCTGGTAAAAATTCTATGTAATTGTATGGCAGTGTTGAAAGAAATGATCAATCTGATAAGAAATAGCCACAACTTGTTTCGAAAATGTGGCATAAAAGGTTACCAGCAGGATATTCCATTTGGCATCGGTTGTATCATTTTTGGCGACCTTATCACCTGTGCCAGTGAAATGGAAAAGTACCTTTTATTTTAATGTTATTCGTATCATTTAATATGTCTTCTTCCTTCTGAACTTGTTTAGAATTAGTTAATTATACTTCAAATTTCAGGCAATTTTCTCTGGGATACTTGTAAAACTAATTCTAGCAGTAATATGACATGCCATCACATAATTTAGTGCATAAATTTTTTACTTATGTATGCTGCTAAATAAATACAAAATACTTGAATTTATTTAAAAATATCGTTAAATATATTTCTTTCTTCCTTTAACTATAAAATGTCTGCAGAAAAGACATTTTTAAATCCTGATTGGGCAGATTCTAATCTCAATCCTCTGGGTATAAAACAATTCCTATTATAGTCATAAAAGTAATGCTTTCAGGATTATATATATATGTGTGTGTAAGATATAAGAAAATACAACAGTTGCTTTAAAAATAATTGGTGACCTTAAAATTAAAAATTCTAAATTTGCTGCTCGTCCCCTAAATTCATCTTCTCCAAAATTCGAGATCCTTTTATGTTATGTAACAACCTAATTTTAATCATAGCTTAGAATACTTTCTGCAAGTACTTAGTATAAATACTCTTGCCACAAAAAACTATGTTATTCCTTTCTTTAGCTTCCGCCACACCAACATCCATGCTGCTTTTCTTGTCCGTCTAAAATGATATCGCCCATTAATATGTGTAACTGTTTATGATATAAAAAATATATTGTCTATGAAGAATTATTATAATGTGCCTGGAAATAATGATGGTAATTAGCTGAACTTGGTTTGGTATCAACATCTTCATCCCGTCTTGCCACTCTGCTATCACGACTATGCATCAAAATTATTACATATATATAACGTCATACGCAACTGGCAAATTTTTGTGTTTTCAAGCGGTACCATAATTAATTTACACTCAGTACAGCCAATGCACATTACGTGGATAGCCTGGCATTCTTAAAACACACCTGGAAAAGTCAGGAAATTTTATTCTTCTGTTTGAGTGGCCATCCTGTCAAAAGTGTGTGCATATTTTAGCAGCATTGACAGAATTGAATGGCTTATACATTTGCTGGTAGAAGAAAGGTAGGTAGTTTGCCTGGTGGTACCTTTGGTCTATCGATGCTGCCAAATATGCATTACTTTTGGTGGATACAAAAATTTTAAATATTGCTGCTTGTCAACAGTGGTGTAAGAAACAGTTCATGTTTCACATCTTATTTCTTGTGTTTGTGCCTCCATGTATCAGTTGTGGCCATGCATTCCTATGCAAAAATGTTTGTTGTAGTTATCTCCAACAGCCCTTAACATCTCCCCCCCCCCAAGTTCTGACTATCTTCGCATAAGTTTTTCACACAGGGCAGAAGATGAGAGAAAGAAAACTTATTTCTATATAAAATATAGAGAATATTAGAAGATCTTATGGATCTATTTAAAAAGCAATAAAATATATATTGTTGTGGCATATACTGTATGTGTCTTTTTTGGAATGCACTTCAGCTTGCTTATTGTAACCTGATAAAAAATTTAAATTTCTGATAAAAATTCTTGTTTTTAACCATAATGTCAATATAATATTAAATGAAATTTTTAACACTATTTTTAAACCTAATAATTAATTATTGTTCTTAAACCTGACTATTGTAAGCTAAACCTATTTGTTATTTATTATAATTGTAAATTTTTCTGACCCTACTTTTGTCTCAATGGAAGTGCATCATCTGGAAATTGATTTGCAGTGTGCCATTATATCAGAATAGTATTTTTTTCCAAACTTTATCCAAAATTTAAAGAAAATAGCATTATACAAAAGTAGGACTGCAAGTGTTTTTTATTCAGTTGTTATCCAAAATTTAATGAAAATAAGACACTGTAAATATTCCTTTGGTGAAATGTGCACTGACTTTTCCTGCCTTCCTCTCACTGTGCTGTATTGCTTACTTCTCCACTTCATCCACTGTTTCAAGATGTAGTAAGTTATATAGAATTGTGGGGTGCTTGTTACACCCATAGTGATGTGTAAACAAGAATATGTGTAAAAAAAATTAGTGATCAAGAAATAAAATTGTGCATTAAAATCAACTGCCAGATCTAAAAGTTTTTCTTCCTCATTATGCACCTCATGAATCCATGCAACTCTATCATTTTGTATATTGTTATGTTTTTATCCTCAGGTTAAGGGTTCATGGATTTTGAGTGAATAATGACAACATTTCATTAATTAGCCAGTATTATTCAAGACAGCTCTAAAATCATGTTTACAGTCGTCAAAGAATTACTATAAACATGCTGAAACAAACAGCGACACAGCCTTCAGGCTATAAGGGTGAGAAGACAGCTTCATGGCAAAGCACCAGAGTACAGCTCCCGACTCTACTCTGTCCTTCTAAAAACT